CTCCTTCTCTTTCTTGCTTCTTCTTGTTCCTTTGATTTTAAGGTCTTCTCAAACCATCCTGCTAGTTAGTCATTTTGTACTTAGTGACTGCCTTAGTTTATTTGGATGATTGTAACAAAATAGTATAAACTAGGAAACTTATAAACAGAAGACATTTATTTGTCAAGTTCAGGAGGATCAAAAGTCTAAAATCAAGGAGCTGAGAAATTCAGGGTCTAGTTCGGAGCTACCACTTTCTTGCTGTGCCCTCACATGGCAGTCACAGTGTGGGGCCTGTCTTGGGCTTCTTTTATAAGGGTACTGATCTCTTAGCTATGAAAAATTTGCCATGATGATCTAATCACCTTTCAGACTCTTTCCTCTTGAGAGCATGACTTTGGAGGTTAAGATTTTGACATATAAACTTTGGAGTGGGCACCAACGTTCAGTTCATTGCAATGCTTCCCAGCATCTGGAGTATGCTGTTCACATTGGTGTTCTCGGGCACATAGACAGACGCCTTGGGATGGCCCCAGCAAAAATCAGAACATTGATGTATGGTCTTTTTGTTCCTTTTTCTCCTCAGTGAGACACAGGGGTTAGATTTTTCTTTTCATGGGAAAGAACTTTGCTAGGGGCTTTTGGTAAGAGGGCATGTTAAACCCTCCTCTTTATTATTGTTATTATTATTATTGATATTTTGGTACCAAGAATCGAACTTAGGACCTTACTCTTGTAAGGCAGGTGCTGTGTGGATGAGCTATATCTTTGGCCTCTCTCCTCTTGGCTTTAATGTAGCTGGTTTTACATTCAACCTGGTTATAAAAGTTCCCTCAGTGAGTTGCTTGATTTCTCATAAAGTTTGGTATTTTGCTAGTTAATACAATTTGGCTCAGTTTACTAACTTTGCTGTTCATACGATGACTTTCTTGATCATATCATGCTTCAGCATTAACAAAATTCAACACAGGTACTTTTGCTTTCAACTTTAGAATTAAATAAATTACATGTTCTCAGCCATTTATGACGTAGAGAACAATAATATTACACACGTATGCAGTCTGCAGTGTTCAAATCAGGGTGATCAGCATTTTTCTATCTTCAAATATTTATCTTTTCTATGTGTTGGTGAACCTTTGTACTTCTTTGTAATTATTTTGAAATATATGATACATTTTTTAAACTTTTTTTTATTTAGGACAGGGTCTACAGGATATACAGGATCTCACTGCATAGATCAGACTCATAGTGATCCTCCTGTTTACAGCCTCCCAAGTTCTGGGATTACAGGCATGGGCCAGTCTCAACCACCATCTCAGGGGGCCCCTTGGGCAGACCCAGCATGGCAGGCCTGGGGATTGAACTCCTGGCCCCTGCGTCTGCCTAAGCAAGCACTTTAATTTGCTGAGCTCTTTGGCAGGCCGTAGTAAATTGTTGCGGATGAGAGTTACACTACTGCTCTGTAGAAGACAAGTTCCAATTCTGCCTAAATATATTTTAATACCCATTATAATGAGAACTCTTATACACTGTTGGTGGGAATGTAAATTATGTCTTTATTTTTGCGTGCTACAGGGTATAGAACCCAGGGAATTTTTAGAGACCATTATGAGGTTGTTAAATTGTAGAACTTATGGCCCTCCCACCTCAGCATCTTGGAGTGCTGGAATTATATACATGTACCACCTTGTCCAATGAGGAATGTGGCTTAATATAGTCATTATGGAGAACAGTGTGAAGGTTTCCTGAAAACCTAAAAACACAACTATCAAAGGATCCAGGAAATCCACTTTTAGGTATATACCTAAAGGAGGTTAAATCATAGAATTTATTTACTGTATGTCAATATTTGGTTGTTTCTTGTATCTATATTATTATTACAGCTAGTTTTTATTTTGTTCAGGTTAGCAACTTTTGTTTTTGTGCTATTATATCTTTTATAAGGCTGGTAGCTTTTATTAGTTATTACGCTGCTATGTAGATTTTTTTACTCATTATATTCTGATTCTTTGCTGCTGCCTGCAGTGGCGCAGTTGTCGTTGTTCATTGTGTGCAGTGTTCAAATCAGGGTGATCAGCATTTTTCTATCTTATGCCAAACGCCTGGTTTGTCTTTCTATCATCACCGTTACTGTGGCTCACTGTCTCCTCTCGTGAGCATCAAGTCGCCAGAAGACACTAAGAAAACCCTCAAATATTATGCTGAGTAGGCTAAAGAGAGAGATGAACATCAAAATATACCCATATTGGGGGACACATCAGAAGGAGACAGATTCTAGCTAAAATTGTATCCACAGCAGTGACAGCGCATGCCTGCAACGCAAGCATTCTGGAAGCCTGAGTTGGGATGATTGTGTTTGTGAGACTCAACTGGGCAACTTAGTGCCGCTGCCCTAAAGTCAGAAGCAAACATTTAATCTTTTTATATTTCTGTTTTGACCTTGGTCTTGGTGATATCTTTGCTTTTGAAAAGCTGCTTACACACATGGAGCAAGGAGAACATCAAATATTCCCTAAAAGATAATCAAGCTGGATTTGTTTTTCAGCTATTGAAGGAGAGTATGAAAAAGGAAAGCAGCTATCGCCAAAGGTGAGGAAGCAGGAAACGCACACACCATCCTCGTGATTAGCCAGGATGATCACCTTGGTGGTGGGGACCCTGGCTCCCAGCTGCCCTCCCACTGGCAGGCTAAGGGACACGTGAAAGGATTCCTCCTCTTCACAGAAAGAGTCTTCAACGGTGAAGATCTGGCAGGTCTTTTCAGCTTCATGCTTGTCAAAGTGCAGGATGCTGTCATGGTCTTCAGGTTGTAGACATAGTCAAAGAATGATGTCACTGTGGAATTGTTCCTGCGGCACAACCTGCAATAATGTGAGGAGGAAAAGGTGAACAGAAATGGGATTCTAAACCTGAATTCTCTGTCACTTCTTTAAACTAGTTTTAGGTCATAGTCATCAGAATTATGGGAAACATTTATCTTTTATAGTCACAAACAGTAACAAGCTGTGTTAGTCAGCTTTTCCTTATGGGATAAAATACCAGCAGTAAACAACTTGAAGGAGGCTAATTTATTCTGGCTTGCAGGTTTAGGACTTTCCTCTGGGGTTGGGTGGGTCTGTCAATTGCTTTTAGGCTCATGAAGTGGCAGAAACATCATGGTGGAAGGGCAGGGGGGTGGAAAATGTCTCATTCAGGGCACCCAGGAAGCAGGGAGAGAGGGGGAAAAGCTGCAGACAGATTGCATTCTTCAAAGACTTGTGCCCAGTGAGCTGCTTCCAGCTAAGCCTCATGGAGCTTAGAGCTTCCTCTACCTCCCCACAGTGCCACCAGCATGTCAGTACAAGAGCTCTCGGG